CAGATGAACAAACCAAACCAAACCAAACAAAACAAAAAAAAGGAGCTGTTTTCCCTACATTTTTGGGGGATTTACCAATGGCTGGTTCTGTGTGCCAAGGAAAGGATAAAAAGGATTAATTTGCCATCCCTGGAAGCCTGGACACCAAGAGTTGATTCTCAGTTTGCCCTTAGAAGAAAGGACCTGAAAGTTCATCCAGTTCCATGGGCAGGGACACCTTCCACTATTCCAGGTTGCTCCAAGCTGGCCTTGGACACTTCCAGGGATGGAGAAGCCACAGCTTCTCCGGGAAATCCATTCCAGTCCCTCCCCACCCTCCCAGGCAGGAATTCCTTCCCAGTATCCCACCTAACCCTGATCCCTGGCACTTTAGTGGCCCAGGAGAGAAAGGACAGAAGGTTTTAACCCCGGATGAGGTTTCAGCTCTAAAGTGTTCCCATAGCTGGGAAGAAAAAAAAAAAAACCCAGGGAGAGGAAAGTTTTATGATTAAACCGCGTCAAAATTATCTACATTTGATTCCCAGCAGTGACCACTTCTGGCCAAAATTTTGACAGTTTTGAATTGATGATGTTCCCTTTTTTTGTTGTTTTTTTTTCTTTTCTTTTCTTGGAAGCTGATTCCCATCAGGAGAAGGATCTAAACTTTTGGAGAGGTTTGTTTTAAGCTGTTGGAGAAACACATTTCAAGCCTGGCCATCCCCAAGGGGCTCCTTAAAATAGCAACGTGACAAAGGCTGCTTTGAGCCCCACATTCCTGCCTGGTTCCTGATATCCACCTTCACGGACACAATCTGCAAGGAAACCAAAACAAAGGAGGGCCAAATTACCTTTTTGCCTTGACAGGGATACAAGGCTGGGCCGGATCTCCTGAGGGGAATGGAGTTTTCCAGTGGGAAGGCTTCCAAGCAGGGACCTCACACACACATTGGGATGCATCATCCCAAATAAAAACAGGACAGGCTGAATAATTCATCCCAAAAAAAAGGCTCCTCTGGTTACCAGAAGACGCAGTGTTTGGGGGTGGTGGGAGATGACAGAATCATTTCCTGCAGCACCTGCTCCAAACCAAAGGCCTTGGATAAATCCCAGTTCCCGAGGCTGGAAAGGCCGAAAGCCGCAGGGTTGGATTTTCTGCCCCTCAGGAGTCAAAGAGGGACCTTTTCGTGTAGGGAAAGGGCTGGAGAGGTTGTTTTGGGATCATGGGAATGGTGAAGGTGTCCTGGACAACGATGCCCTGTGATTTTAGGGGACATCCCAACCCTCCCTCCAATCCTGGTCCTGCATTCCTGCTCTTCCCAGAGGCCAGAGAGGGAGATGAGCTGGGCAGGGTGGAATCCAAGGAAAGCCCTCCTGTGGATCTGAGCTCATCCACAACAGCGGCAAAAACCTCCAGGAGTTGAGCTGGGAAAACTTTAATTCCTGCCAATTAAAGGGTTGAGAGGAGGGTTGGAAAATCCCCCCTTTAGCCTTTGCCTCCCTGCATTTGGAGCTCAGCCTCCCAAAGAACTGCAATTCCCACCTTCCCAGAAGGGAGCAGGCAGGGAGGAATGGATCATTCCCACGCCTGGCAGGGGGGTGGGTTTGGATTTGGGAGCCCTGAGGTGGGAGTTCACTTAGAGTGTGGAGCAAGAGGACCCCAAATCTCCGGGGGTCGGGGTCAGAGGCAGATTTCTGCCCCGAGCTCCTTGTGCAAGGGTTAAACTGGGAACAACCCCCTCCCTGGGCAGCCTCAGCAGTTTGGGGTTACCTGCCTTTCACAGGAAAGGATCTGGGGGAGAAACAGCAGCTCAGAGGATCCCAAATCCAGTTCTGTACCCTGGGGACTGATCAGACACAGATGGGGGACCAAAGCCTGGCTGGGGCCACTCCCTGAACACCAGGCCCTGCTTTATTCCCACCACCTCCCCCTGGCAGGGGCATTTATGTACCTTATTTATAAAACAAGGCTTATTTTATAAATATACACACATATATCTGAGGGTTTCTCCTGCTTTCCCTCTCTCTCCAAGAAAAGACCCGGCACAGGAGCTGCGATGGGGCCCCTGAAACTTCGCAGTGGATTTTTTTTCCCCCCCTCTCTCCTTCTCCGAGTGCCTGCAGAGCCCTGAGTACATATTTGCTCAGTCTGCCCCACATTTAAACACACACAGATGTTGGGGACCCCTGGGGACAGCGGTTCCCCCAGCCCCAGCCAGCAGAAAGGAGCCAGATCCCACGACAAAGGCCGGCAGAGGTGGAAATACCTGCCCGGAGATTCCCAAAGGAACCCCCTCCCAACGCTCCCCCCTTCCTTCCCGAGCCCCTCTCCCTAATAAAGAGCGTTTCAATCCCTCCTGCAAGAGCCTGAAAAGCAGATTTGGGATTAAACTTGGGGAACGGGCTGGGCTGGGGTCGGGTTTAGGGCTTTTAAACCCCCCACCCTGAGCATCCTCCATCCCCCTCTCCCCAAGCACCGCCTCGCTGGAGGGAAAGGGGTGGGAAGGGGGTGGGAAAGGGGTGGGAGGGACGCGGGACCGACCCTCTGCTTCCCAATCCATCTGTCCCAGGCTGGATACGACCAAGGGAGGGTGGGGGGAATTTTATACCTGCCCCTCTCCCCGGGAAGATCCTCTGGGACGGGAAGGGAGAAGGTTTGGAAGAAGGAGGAGGAGGAAAAGATTGCATCAAGAGCACAATTTTTTTTTCCCTTCCCCTCTCTCTCTCTCCCTCTCTCTCTCTCTCTTTCACAGGAAGCCCTACTCTACCTTAGCCTTGGAAAGAGCCCCTTTTCATAAAATTAGCTGAAGGCACCTATTCACAGCCATGGGGCTGTGAAAAAAAAAAAAAAAAAAGGGCAAAAAAAAAAAAAAAAAAAAGGGGCGAAAAAAAAAAAAAAAAAAAAAAAGGGGCGAAAAAAAAAAAAAAAAGCCA